TGGCCAAAGGGTTATGTAAACGGCCTCAACATGAACAAGATCAAAACTTTTGCTGAAAAACCTGTTGTACACAACTACATGCCTTTTGTCATCTGATTGATAGTTTAGACATTTTATTAGAAAGTCTTAAGGTCATTGCACAGAGTCCAAAATTTTCATTCGAAATTTTCGCACGTTAAAAAAATAAATACGACCTCACGTTTACACACTGCCTCCGAAACTTCAGTCCATCATAAAATTCGGATCAGGTTCAATTTTCTGCATTTTCGCATCCGTAGCAAGCAATTTGATAGGAAAGAATGACAAATAAAATATGTTTAAAAAAAAAAATGCATTTCGGACATTTCAGCTTGTCTTTTTGCTGTGAAATCTTAACTGGTTTTTGTGAAGTAAAATGTAAATGAACTTTAATACTGTTAATATTTCAAGTTGAACACTTACCGGACTGATTTGGTCTACTTGATCCATACATAACTTTTTTGTAAAATCATGTTGAATTATGAGTATCAAACACAGGGATTAAAGTTCTCCGTCAGTTCATAAAGACAGTCACTTGCTTCACTCCTGAATGAATCAGCTGTTCGAACGAATCAATTGAATGAATCAATCAGTGACTTGCCGCCACCTGCTGGCAGATTTAGTTTCATTTTTAGCGTATAATCTCAGTTATTTTAATCATATTTCTGTATTCAAAATTTTATATTTAAAACATTTTAAATATAAAAATGTTGTGGTCCAGGGTCACATTTGTTTGTTCATCTCTCAATCATCACCGTCAGGGCTCTACGCTTATTTTTCTTTTTAGGAGCGCTTGTGCTCCAAAATTTGATCAAAAAATAGCCTTATATACATAGCCTTCCCATTATTTGACTCCTTAAAGTGATTTACAGTAGAATTTTGTTTTTACCTCTGTAATGGCATTTTTATATCTTTATTAAAAGTATGTCATCTTTTGTCTAATTTTTTAAAAACTATATTTTATAAGCTTTTTTAAAATTCTAGATAAAACCATAGAATAAGAAGAATAAGTTACTAATCAAATGAAATCAGTATTAAAATGAATTTGTACAGAGGTAGAACAGAAAAAGACAAGTGGCTTGTAGGTGTATTTTCAGACATTTAATGAGGATCAGAGGTGGCATGAGTGCAATTAAATTAATAAATTCATGTTAAGATTAATGTTTTAAAAAATGTTGAATATAGAAATATTAAATGATTTAAAGAACTGAAAAGATGCTTTAAAAATTAAACTAAATCCGCCAGCAGGTGGCGACAATCACTGATTTTATCACTGAATCATTCATTCAATTGATTCATTCGAACAAGTGACAGTATTTATGAATGGGTAATCAAGAATCACTGACTTACTAGATTCATTCATAAACAAAACACCGCTGTGTTTGAATGGAGATGCGCAGCGGCTGAGCTGTGACTGTTTCAAACTATTTTCGACGACGAAATAGAGCAAAATCAGACAATAGTGTTATAGTCAGACAATGTAAGCCACTTAATATAAACTTCTTGTCTATTGAACTGTTGTATTAAATCAGTATCAAATTTACAAAATCATTAAAAGCTGTCACTCATCTTAGTTCATTGCGATCTCACATTTATGATCAACGAAGCTATCTACACTGCACAATGAATCTTTTATTTACACCGTCTACACTTTGCTTATGAAAGGATTCATGAGATATGTCTGTGATACATTACTCAACGCTGCAAAAACACGTAGAAACCTTTGAAGCTCACCTAAGCGATCACAATCTCAAGTATGATGATGATCGGGTCAGTCGCACTGGTGCTCCTAAATACTTTTTCATAGTCGCACGCAGTAGTTTTCAGTCGCAAATATAAGCTCCAAATTCTCACTATCATACTACATGAGCCATTAAAGATTTATACATTTCAAAAGGATTTTTCGGACTATTTCATGTTAGGCTTTAAGTTTCCTCCTCTAAGACTCTCAACAGGAACACAAAAACATCTACTGACCCTTAGCACATGGCGCAGGGTGAGGGAGCTGTGCATTTGTTGAAACTGTAGGCCGACGCCTTCCGCAGGAGGAGGAGGAGGAGGATCTTTCGGTTCTTCGAAACCTATAACAATTTCATCAAAATCATCCTCCTCTTTCGTCGCCTCTGCCTGCTCCATCGCAACGCTTTCATTCTGCTGCTCCTGCGTGTCTCTCTCATTCATCTCCGTGTCTCTGACGTTCGGCTCTTCATCCATTGCTGCTTCTGTCCTGATGTCGCTCTGAAGCTCAGATGGCTCCACGATCGAGGGCTCTCTGTTAATGCTGAATGACAGGAAATGTGAAAATTATCCTCATAACTTCATCAGAAACATTAAGATACATGTGTGCGCGTGTTGTGGATGTAGTTACCTGTGTCGGGCATGAGATTCTGCAATGTGCATGAAGTGCTGCGGTTTCAGGACCAGTCCATCGTTGTATACGCTGGACTGGTTTGTGTTCGTACGTTCAGTAATCGCGGTCTCTGGCGAATCCGAGCGGTGAAGCCTGACCCTGAAAATACACATGCGTGATGTAAACACAAAAATGAACCAAGACTGGAATGATGCAAAAATTTCAGCTGTGCATCACAGGAATAAATAACACTTTAAATTATATTCAGAAAAAAAGTTTTTAAAACTCACATTTTTGAAATTTAAAACATTTTACAACATTGCTTTAACTAGATTTTCGATTAAATAAATGCAGGCTCGGTGAGCATAAAATACTTTTCAACAACAAAACAAAGAAATTGCATTAAAATGAATTCTCACATCACTTATTTACCTCAAAATAATAAATGAATCAATTTAAATGGGGAAAAAAAATTAAGGAAGGGACATAATTTGAGTTCTTGGGTACCAAGTTTAAAAACAAGTGAGATCCACACTTAAAGTAATTTGTAGTTTTGTCATGATTGACAATTTGTCAAGCATGTCATATCCAATCTGTTCTAATCTGATTTATCATTATTATTATGACACTTCAATTCTTTTTTTGTGTGTGTAGTTGTATATTACCATACCTTGTTGCTGGTAGTTTGAGCAGATGTTCTTCAAATTCATCATCCTCTTCACCTTCATGATCATCACTATGCATGGAGCCATAACTGCTGGGCGGCCGGTCCATCATGATCCTTAAAATAACGTTAACAGCGACATTAAAACAGAAACAAAGTAACAGCAGCGGAAACAAGCATGTGTCTACTCCGAAGACCTTTCAACAAATGGAAACTCGTCCAAGCAGTGCCTGCACAAAACTCAAAAACAGACATTTTGCATTGCTAACAAACACCTGTAATTCTGAAGCCAAAATTCAAAGAGCACAACTCAAAACGCTCCACTGGATGAAGCGTTGCTGGAATCTAATATGCTTAAAAATCTAAGTAAGATCTTCATATTCATACCATGAGTGTTCATGCAAGCCTGGACCAACCTGAGCAGGTCATCAAATGTCTAAACCAGCAAACACTCTGCTCTTTTAAATGCATATTGTATTTCAATCCGAAAAACCAAATGATTTCGTTGACAATGTTTTTTTTTTTTTTTTTTGATAAAGTGGCTTGATATTTGATCTGTCAGATTATGTGTCTTCCTCGCAATAATCCCAATCCTTATGATCTTCTAACGTCAACTGAGAAAGCATCTCATATTTCCAGTTCCCCAAAACAGAGGAACATATACGTTTGCTGGTTTTAAATGGAGTGATACAAACAAAATTTGCACCAAAACGATTCTAGAACGTGAGAACGATGTTTAATTATATACTTCAGGAATACAGAAACAAATAAAAGGTATATTAACTAGTCGACTACTCAAAACATCTGTCCTGACAGATGCAAACCTGAACTATTACACCACGGTTACACGAGTATTTATTAATATACCGTCACTTAGTAACGTTACCGCTACAGTTACTATTTACAGCGTGTGTATTCTTTCTAGTTGTTTTGCATTTAATTATTTGGATTTTAGGACATTCTTGGTTTCTTTGATTTGCTCTGCACAGCCGGTCTGGCTGGAGTTAGCCTCAAATAACCAAACTAACCTGGTTTAGCAGAACTAAGGAAAGCAGGCCGGTTAAACAAGAAAAAACCGTCAAAACCTCAAGACACTTACCGATCCACTTCTGAATCACTATCGTCCCCAAAATTACTCATGATGGTGGTTAGAAACGCCTTACAAACCAATTACAGCACAGCTTCTACCTAAGAAACAGAAAAAAATATAAAAAGTTACACACTTTTATCGCATAACAAGGAAATTCGTGGCCTGAAAAAAAAATATTTGAGCCATCAATATCTTAAGCGACAAACTTACCCAAAACATTTAGGAAGCGCTCTAGCATTAAACTGGCTTTATTTAAAGTCGGTTCGATGAATGTGGTTTTTAAAAACAAAACAAAAATAAGCCTAAACCGTCCACAGAAATGTCGTCCGTTGAAGCCACGGCCTGACTGACTGCTCTTCCGCGTTTCCGGTCACGTCATTTTTACTTTCGGTTTCTGCAACAAATGGGAAAAGACGGCGCAATGTTGCAACGCATTATATTTCTCCAATGGTTTTTTTTTTTTACTATTTGCAAATAAAAAAAAATTATACATTTCTGGTTTATTTATCGCAATAAAGCCTTCCATAAATGTAAATTTTGCAGCATGAGAGGGATCAACCTTACTGTGGAAAAAAAAAATAGTTTGCCATGCATATGCATGCATGAAAATGCACGCTAAAAGTAATAAATATATAAAAATAAATACAAAGAAAAAAAAAAATCTAAAACTAAATGTATAAATGAAAAAGTAAATAAAAATATAATAAAATGGGAAAACTGAATGCACTTGTAAAACATTATCTGCATAGAAACTAAACCTCTGCTTTTTAAATTTTTATTAATGATGGTCAACAGTAAATACGAAACATTCAAACACACTACTACGAAGTACATTACAAAAATCTTTTATTTTTAATACATTATTCCAAAACACACCTTCCATCAATTTACAAAGTGAACAGAAAAAAAACTACCAAATTATAGATAAAAATAAATCCAGGTTGTGTCCACAAATGATCCTGGACGAGAAAGAAATCAACTGTGGAGAAAGACATGAGTTTCAAAAAAATTCATGAAACGCAATTAAAGTGTATTGCCACATAACAAGCAGATACATACAGTCAGGAAAGATGATCAGTCCGTCTACTGCTCTCCCTAAACACACACAAAACACTAATTTAACCTAGAAATTGTGCACCATGCATTAGTCTAATACTACTCAAACTCCCAGCTCAAGTGAAGTTTGGTTCATGATTACAGCAATTTGTTAGCAACACCAGGAGAGGGTCATGCCGTTCATACCTTTTTTGGAGACTTGCTGCAAGGACATTTTCTCAGTGACAGCGGCGATCTGCTGTTAGCGGCGCTCATCGCAGGCTGCAGGGCACGACTGCCCACTGTGGGAGACTTACAGGCTTCCTTACGGTGCTTTAGGCCTCGCTGCAGCAAACTACCTCTTTGGCGTTTTGGTGTGTTAACAATGGTGAACATAACAGACTGCCTTCGCTTAGGCTACAGATGAAAAGAGTAGGGCAGAAAAATTGTGCATGCATGTACAGTGGGGAAAAAAAGTATTTAGTCAGCCACCAATTGTGCAAGTTCTCCCACTTAAAAAGATGAGAGAGGCCTGTAATTTTCATCATAGGTATACCTCAACTATGAGAGACAAAATGAGAGAAAAAAAAAAAAAATCCAGAAAATCACACTGTAGGATTTTTAAAGAATTTATTGGCAAATCATGGTGGAAAATAAGTATTTGGTCAATAACAAAATTTCATCTCAATACTTTGTTATATACCCTTTGTTGGCAATGACGGAGGTCAAACATTTTTTGTAAGTCTTCACAAGGTTTTCACACACTGTTGCTGGTATTTTGGCCCATTCCTCCATGCAGATCTCCTCTAGAGCAGTAATGTTTTGGGACTGTCGCTGGGCAACAC